TACTCTCAGCAGCTACTTTTGGAAAACAGCAAAGGCCCTGGGAATCCGTTGTGCGGCTGGTAGAAAGAGAGCCTGCGTGGTGCTAAGCACACTCCCTTTGATGAGGGTTATTTGGATTCTGGAAGGAAGTTTGTTGTGACATCAGTCATGCAGGGAGCCCTGAGAATTTAGCTCTTACAAGTGAGATGTTTGCTATATATAGCGTGAGGAAGAGTCGCTGGTTGGAAAACGGCTTAGCACTTTGTTGGTGGGATAATAAAAATGTAAGTTCCAGGAGGGATCTTATGCTTATCTGAGTGAAACCTCTTGTGTGGTTGGCAGAATGAGACTTGGCAAAGATTCTTTTCTTGACTCAACTCTAGTCAGGATCTTCTGGACTCTTTTTCAACGAGGCTCTGTCCTGGGGTAGATCCTCTAGAGCCCAATTTTGGTGAGAATCTTGGTGTAGGGAAATGAATTAAATTAAATTGTTTTTTTTTTTTTTTGCCTCCCACCACTAGCCTCTGCGACCACCACCTGTGGCCTCGCGTTCTTCTCTGCTTTCTCTGCCCACGCAAGCTCTGAACAGTGCTCCCAAGTGTTGATGCAAAAAGTGTTTGGGAGTGTGATCATGTGGCATGTAAGGATACCCAGGGCTGAGACGTGTGAGCAGGGGGTACACGCGCCTATGGTTATGGATACCTGAGCATGCTTACCTATAAGTAGGGATGCCAGGGCTGGGAGATCATTATTACAAGAACGTAAGAGGGAGACCTTGAGAGAGCTCTGGGACCACGGGGGCTAGGAGTGTTGGTTGCTGCCAGCCTCCTGGCCGCACTCCCCAGCCCCCCAGTCTGCTGGTGTGCCTGCATCTGGTTCTCTGCTTGAGTGTTAAAGGCATATCCCATCTATCTAGTGCTCCAAGGTCCTTTATCTGTCTGCCTGAATCCATCAAGAACTTGCCCTGGCTCTGCTCCTGGTTTGCACATGCACTTGGTAAGTCAGTTTAGCCGGAATCTCCCTTCCTCAACATCTGTTTATCTTCAGTATCTGGCCAGCGTCCTCCACCCCATCTCACTTCAGATGATGCTTGATCACCCTGCCTTCTGTGAGAACCGCATCAGGTCAGCCTAGCAAAAACAACCCTAAGCCTCTCAGTTGTGACCTCTGCCCTTCTCTGGTTATACATTCGCACTTTTCCTGGCTGAGCCCACTCTCTCCCTGCTACTGCAGGCCCACAAGCCCTTGGTCCCTATACCTGAGAGTCCTTCATGAAGTTGGCCTTACATTTTTTTTTTTTTTAAGATTTATTTATTTATTTTATGCAAGCACTGGGTACAGACAGAAGTGCGGGAGGGTGAGAGAATTCACCAGAGTCAGAGTGGGGAACAGAACAGGCAGACTGATGAAGTACACTGCTGAGGGGAGCAGTGGGCATGGCAGGAGAGGTCCGCTCGCCCTGTGAGACACTCGCCGGCGGCCGGGGATCAAACCGGTGCTGTAGAGGCTGCGGGCAGCTTCACAGCCCAGTGCTCAACTGCTGAGCCACCAGGGGAGGTCCTGGCCTTACATTTTAACAAGTGTCAGAGTAATTTTTCTTGAGCACATTTAGAGAATTAACTTCTCAGGATAGCACTTTGAGTACATTTCAGAAACACTTCTCTAGTCTAAATTTCCAGATTCCAAGTTCAATATTCTTCCCCCAAACCATGCTGTCTTTATGCCTTCAAGAGCATAGAATCAAGAAGGAATCCATTCTCTGTTTTGTCTGGATTAGTAAGACTACATAACAGTGTCTGAAGATTGTGGCCTGTTTCCTCCTCTGTCCTGGATAGAATGAGAAACTTGAGGCCCCAGCAGACTAAGTAAATTGTGCTTGGCCTTCCCACCAGATAGCTGCTGATCTAAGGTTGAAACAGATTTTGCCATACCCAAAGCTTATGTTCTTTCCATGTTCTCCAAAGTTCCTTGTCCTTGAGGACTTACATTATGGCTGGGGAAATGGAACACAAGAAATGAATCATGTTCCTGCTGAGGAGTTAACGAGAGGGATGTACTGTGTGCCTTGGTGCAGAGTGGCTGGAGGGAAAATTTGCTTGGGTGCAGAGGGGACATGAGTGCTGATTAGCAAGAGTGCTGGGGAATCCTTTGTGGGTGCAGCCTGATTGAGCATTGGACCAGGGAATTGATCAGTTCACCTTGAAGCTGGTGGGAGGCAGCTTTCATCCCTCCCTAGCAACAGAGGCCGCTAGATCATCCCAGTCTGGGCCTGTTTTGCCAACATCCAGAGTGTCAAGAGTGCTTTCAGGGTGTGGCTATTTCAAGAGTTGAGTTGTCACTACACATTAACAGTTGGTCAAGAACTTGTACATTTGGACAAGCTCATTCATTCATTCATTATCACAAATAAAGACAAAGTAAAACAATACAAAAATCAATATATTCAGCACTTACTTTGTGCAAGCCTTGCTGTAAGACATCAGGGTTGTTATAAGAAATGGTTTTTGTTCTTAGCGAGCTATAGTCAAGAGAGCTCCCAGAATAAACGTAGTGTGAGCCCATCGATAGCATAAATGCTACAATAGAAATATGTACAAGGTAGTATGAGCCCAGAAAGGAAACAGTGATTAATTTTCCAGTCCATTGTTGGAGGAAGGGTGATTTTGGAATTGAAGGTCAAAGATTAATTTACCAAGTAGTGAATATAGTGGCTGGATAGATCAGGTGAAGGGGATGAGGTGTGTGGATAGGGAGGGCAATGGAAAGGCCTGCCATTTGTGATGTTTGGCAAGGCTGGAGAAAAGGGGCTGAGGATCAACTGGAAATGAGTCTAGTAAAAGGAGAATGGAATCAGATTTCACAAAAATAGGTTTGTAAGATACACCTTCTTGGTGTGTAGGCCACAGGTGATTACCAGCAGGGAGTGGACAGATCTGGGTGATTGGCATCCAACATGATAACAGGCAACATGGAGGAAAGTGGGAGGTTGAGAAGGTGGGAAGAAGAGGATCCAACTGGGGGGATTGTGGCAACAATGATAATGCATGAACCAGAGCATGGGGTGAGAGTGGAAAGACTAGGGGTCCCAAATATTTAGGAGATAGAATCATTAAGATTTGGAGACTGAGCTGGGTTTGAGAGATTATGACAGGGGAAGATTGAAGGTGATTCTCGGTGCCTGAAGTAGACAGGAGATGGAAGACAAGTGTCAGTTTTGAGGGCTGGAGCATTGAAGTGAGCTTAGCTGATGACCATGTGGGGCCTAGGGAGGCCTATGGAGGCCCTCCCAGTAGCCTAGGGAGGCATTTGAAGTCCTAACCTTTGTTCGGAATATGTGCTGAGTGTGCATGATCCACAATTCACTTTTGGAACAGAAATGAACACCCATTGTATTGTGTTTTTTTTTTTTTTAACAATATACCTACAACCTGTTATGTTTCCCATGTTTCATATTTTTGCATCTTCACAAATGCCTTGTGAGATGAAAGTATCCCCGTTGTTAAGACGGAAATCTTAAGATTCCAGCAAGTTCAATAACTTGCAGTTGGCCCTCCCACCAGAGACCTGATGATCTAGGATTGAAACAGATTTTGCTACACCCAAAGCTCATGTTCTTTACTTACCATAGTGTTCTCCAAAGTTCCTTGACTTTGAGGACTTACATTTATGGTTGGGGAAATGGAACGCAGGAAATGAATCATGCTACTGTTGAAGAGTTAGCAAGAGTCGTGTACTGTGTGCCGGGATGCAGAGTGGATGGAGGGGGAAATTTGCTTGGGAGCAGAGGGGAGATGAGTGCTGACTGGCAAGAGGGCTGGGAAGCCTCAGCAGAGGTGAGGTGACATGGAATTTGTCAGATTGCATGGATTTGGAAGTATTTCTTAAAGGTTCTCCCATAGTTTGGCTACTCAGCTCGCCAATGACGCTTTGGGCTGGGGCAGGAGCAGGTTAGTGTTCGAAGGTGAGTAAAGGAACAAGGAAAAGACAAAGACAGGTAATTAGTAGCAGAGGCACAGAGCCAGCGGCAGGAACTGAGATCCAAAGCAGAATGCAGCCAGCTATGAGGCCAGAGGGCCATGGGGAAATGAGTTGGCCTCTGTAACTTTCCCAGGTTGAGTAAGCTTTGTGATTCATGCTAAGGAAGGTCCCAACAGAAAGAGGGTGAGGACATGTTGGTACCAGGAATTTGAAAAGGGAGCTGTGTGGGGTGGGTGTGGGGTCAGCAAGAAGAGAGTGTGTCAGAGAGGTTGGCTGCTGAGTCTCACTGTCCAGCACCCACTCTCCCTGCTCCCCTGGCAGGGCTTGGTGGAGAGGGCTGTGGGTTGGCCTTTGTTTCTCTGAGCCCTGACTTGTGCTTTTGGTACAAGGTCAGAGGCCTAGAAACTAGGCCCAAAGGAGGAGCAGGTAGCCAGCAGGATAATTGAAATGATGAACTATTGGCAGCAGTTCAGTGTCATTGGCTTTTCATCCTAACACAACATTGCTCCTATGAAATCTTTAGACCCTTGCCTGGTGTGGCCTGATTTGGCGTTGGACCCACAAACTCTTGGGTACCATGCATCCTGCCCCTGTAAGGTCTCAGTAGAGGGAAAGTTAGGGTGGGTGCACCCCATTGACCTCAGAGAAAGCCAGTCTGGCTTCTCTCCCTGTGGCCTACCAGCACAGCTCCCTGTGGGCCATAACCTTGCCTGGCCCTCCCATGGCCACACGGAGAACCTAGGGTAGGGCGAGCACCCCACGGCAGGCTCCAGCAGCTCTTGGCACTGCAGTTTTACAAAGGGCAGAAAAATAGGTCTCTGAGAAATGCCAGAAGCAAAGGGGAGGGCCTAGGTAGGACCCAAATGCATTAGTCTAATTGTGCTCCTAAAGTTAAAGGGGCCTTTATCGCTGAAGAACACTTTCAAGAACTCATGTGATTTGGGAACAAAGGAGCAGAGCCAGGGAGAACCTGACTCCCCTTAAAACACAATCCCCTCTTTGGTAAAACAATCTCTCCTCTTCTTTCTCTCTCTTCCCTGCAGATCAACAGATTATGGCACCACTTACGAAAAGCTGAATGACAAAGTGGGTCTGAAGACCGTCCTCAGTTACCTGTATGTCAATCCCACCAACAAGAGGAAGGTAAGACGAGGGGCTGTGGTTCTGAGCACTCCGCCGGGTAGCGGGGCTGCCTAGTACAGGAGTTAAGGGAAAAAAAAAAAAAAAAACAATAGCAATGGAAATGCTTGTAGAATACCTGTGTATGGGCCAAGATCATTAGATACTTAAATCCAACAGCAACCTCATTGGGTCACAGTAAGAATAACAACAGTGAACCTTGATGCCGGCTCAGGCGTGTCTCTGTGCCTGGGATGGCTGAGTGCTTTGAGTACTTAGCTCATTTATTCTCACTTGGAGTCTGTTCCCATTTTATAGATGAGTAAGGTAAAGTTCAGAGAGGCTATATGACCTTCTGAGGTCAGATAGCAGTCAGTGAGGCATCTGGGATTGGAGTAGAGGTCTGCTGGCTCCCAAGTTGAGTTTCGGTCTTGCTGGTCTACTTGCAAGGAGTGCCTGATAGGGAGTTAATTTCAGCCAAGGGATGGTTAGGCAGCCCCTGAATTCTTTAAGTTGACCCAGAGCTGCTTCTGAAGCACAAGAGAACAGCTCTGGTTCCAGTGGCCTCTCTGCTTCTGCCCTTCCTCTTGACCAAGCAGCCAGGCTGAGGATGGAATCATGGAAGGTCAGACCTTGGTCATGGAGAGGGCTGGGTACTATGGAAGAACACTTGGTTTTAGAAAATACATGCTGTGCAGCGTATGGGCATTGGGGCAGGGTAATCTTTCCTTCAGCTTGGAAGGCCTGGCCCAGTAAACAAATAAGGGTAGAAAAGACCATTTTCATGTTTCTAAAGACTGGAAGTGGTACTGCCAGGCTCTCCTCTTGCAGTCTAATTTGCACTCCCCAAGGGTTTTTTTTTGCTTCAGTAAGGTGGGCTCAGGAGAGCTTCTGCTCACTCTGAAGATGTGTGTGATCTCTCGCTCCTACTTGGGGAGCCCCAAGCTGCGACTTAGTGTATTATTGTTGATGCTGCTCAAAGTAGAGCAGCTTTGACCCTTAACATCATAAATCACAGTCCCACCCCTTTTACCCACTTGTACATCTGGGGTCTCCAAATACCCCCAGCAAAGGGAGGAAACAGAATTGCAGACTCCTGTTTCATTATTGGTGATCAACATTACAGCCAGTCCCAGGGGTCCCCCAACCTGAGACCATGCCCACCAGCCAAGTGCCAAAACCCTCGTCATCAGGACTGTTTAGCCACCTGTTACTGTTTCTAGCTGGGCATGTTTCTTATCTTTGCCCCTACAAGTTGCCAAGCTTACATTTTGCAGCATTGTTATTTGAACAATTGAATGCTAGAGCTGAAGACCATAGATTCATCTTGCAAGCAGTTGTGAATAGCCCTTAAACTGCAAATCTTTTACAAATATAGTTAAGACTCTAGATCTCTTTTCTGGAAGTATGCCCCTGCACACAAAAATATGAAAACTATTTTTAGGGATTTGTGAACCTCTTGAGTCCCACTCCTAGCCCTAAGATATCTGTGGAGGTTAAGAACCTGCCATCTCTACCATTAGTCTTACTTCACAGAGCTGGGGTCTGAGACCCAGCACACAGCTTTCCTTCCCCTTACAAGCGATTAATGTCCCCGAGTCCCTAGATCTCATTACTGTCCCCTGATTCTCGTCCTCAGACCGAAGCAGATCAACCTGTGCCCAGGTCATGTCTGCATTTAACAGAGCTGAGCTTTGTCCAGACAGACTGAAGGTTTTGTGCCTCACAGCAGAGGGGCTTGGGCCATCCGGGTGTCTTTGATAACAAACCTTTGAGCAGGTAGGGAAATGCAGGCAGGTTGTGGTTCAAAGGTGGCTACAGATTTTAAAACATTGCTTTGGAAATGGCAGAGAGAATAGGACGATCTGATTGTCAGGGAGTGTGACCAGTTTGCTGCAGGGTAGAGGTCTTTGTGTGGTGACAGGACTGGTCGGTCTGACACAAAATAGAATAATGGCTTCTCTTTCTGAGCGCCTTCTTTTTCTAAGAAGTGTGGTCACTGGGCTGATAGGTGCATTTCTATACTCCATTATAAGTTTTACTGTTAATCCCCAGAGCCTGGTATTTTCATCCCCACGTGACAGGTGAGGAAACTAAAGCTCAGGTAGGTAAGCCACTTGGTTGTTTCAAAGGAGCTGGGGTCCAGGTAGGTAAGCCACTTGGTTGTTGCAAAGGACCTGGGGTTCAGGATCCCTGCCCCCTGCCTCTGACCACATGGGCCATGCCATGTACTCTGATCTGCTGGAGGCCAGTGCCCTGGCACAGAGGAAGCCCAGGCCAGCCACTGCTCTATAAGCCGTAATTCTCTGCTCGGGTTTTCTGCCCATTCGTGTTAAGAGGATTAGCAGTTTCTTAAAAGAGGAGGAGAGTGTGAGAGTCTCCTCCTAATTGATTTACCAGTGAGAGGATAATTGCTTCCAGGCTACCCTACAGAAATACAGTAGGAGGGACCAAATTTTTTCCATGGGCAAGCCACCTGTCAAGCCGTTACAGAGCCTTGGAGTGTGCGGGAATGATGGTTATTCCCGTGTCAGTCTCTTAATGCAGCAGCATAACCCGGGCTCTGTGGGACACCCGCAAACCTCTAAACAAAACACCAAGCAGATTTTAAAATATTAGTCTTCCGCTTTCCTTCACGATGTCTCGCATGATTCTTGGAGGGATAGGAAAAGTGAGCTCTGAGATAGAACACTTTCTATTCATAGATATTAAGATCTCTTACAATAAAGCAAAGCAAAAACAGAAAATGTAGAAAGATAATTTTAGGTCGTTAAGTGCTCTGTTGGATGTCTACCTCTGAACAAAGTCTTTTGGAGGGGAGGTTCCTCCTTTCAAAAGTATACAAGGACCTGGGCAGATGCATATAGAGAACAGCTCTATACAGACCTGGGGTTTCAAACCCAAGTGGATACAAGGGCCAGACGGTGATGCCAGTTAGTGAGGAGGACCAGGTGGGGACCACAGCAGCTCCCCTGGAAGGAGCTTCCATGAATCAATTCCAGATGACTGTTGTCTTGTGAATGTGAAGACCCAGGCAGCCGTGGCCTGATTGTTCTTATTTTCTGATTTTGTCAGGAACTTTTCTCTGCACATCTTTAGATGAAACATCTGTATTTGGGGGTGTTTCAGACAGATGTGTTTCAGATAGAGTGCAAAGGCTGGCAAAGCTGTCCCCAAATCTGCTTTAGTCCCTTGTAGCCAATTTGCATCAGGTGTCATATTCTGCACAGTAATTTGTCTCGGGTGAAACATTGGTATTTGCAAAGTGGTCTTCAGGGCCACAGGACAAGTTTTAGTAAATATTCCTGACCTTTATGCTCTGTGTGACAGGTAAGCTAAGCTGATCATGGTTTGCAAAGACCTCCCTTTACTCAGCCCCATCACGTGTACATCCTGCAGCGCAAAGGGGCCATCATGTCACTGTGGGTAGGACTGCTGGAGTGGGAGGAGGAGGCAGACATCCTGCCTGACATGACTGAATAAGCCATCAACCCTCCCCAGCCCCTTTCCCAAGAGCCTCCATTGTCCCTATTTGTACAATGGCAAGGTTGGGTCCTTACTTTGATGTTTTTCCTAGCTCTAGGGGTCTGGGTGGCCTCTTGGAGGGCTGCATGGTAACGTGATGAACCACGAACTTTGGGCTCAGTGGATCGCTATTGGGTAGTCCTTGAAAGGACCATGGCCACACGTTGGCCAGCAGGGACTCCCATCTAGGCCAACTTTTCAGAAGTTACAGAGTCTTGATCAGACAATGGGGGCTCCCCACTGGCTCAGCAGATAGAACTCAGAGCAGTGGCCTCTCCTTGGCCTGGCTGAGCAGTTTCATCAGCCAGAGCTGATGTGCCCCCCAGGGTACCCCTGTTGCCTCCCAGGAGTCCCCACCCCCCTCCTATAGGAACGGGATCTGGAGATGCTGTCTGGATCTCTTGTGGCAGCGCAGGGCCAAGGACACCACGTCCACAGACAGTGGGCAGGGGCCAGCCTTGTGACTCAGCCCTGCCCCTGCACACTCCCTGCCCCTGTAGTCTCAAGCAACTTCTTTGATTTGTGGCCCCTGATCTTTCCCTTGGGAAAATGTGCTTCCTAAACTCTATGCTCAAGAGCAAGTAAGACACGTCCCTCTTAATGCTAATATGTTTCTATTTCCACAGGTAATGAGAATCTATGATAATATTGATATTAACAATAATAATGTAAGCAGAAGAAGTAACAGCTAGCAATTTTTTTGGAATTTACTGTGTGTCAGGATTTGTTCTAAATGCTATATATAAATTAGCTCTCTCCGTACTTCACCAGTAACTCTGTGATATTTCATTTATAAGTGATGAAAGATTTTGGCACCAGTGACCTACTCAAATTTGGTATCTGATGGCCACTTCCCTGGCCTGATATGCTTATCTGACTATCTTTTGAGATGCACCACATGTTAGGGATGGGAGGGTCCTAATTTAACAGAGGTCTTAAGTCACTTGCAGCAGAGCCAGAAACTGGGTCTCCTGATCCCTAGTCCAGTGTTCTCTGTCAGACACCCCGGCTGTGGGCAGTGGACACAGATCTGATGCAGAACCCCATTGGCACAGGGGTGAGTTGGGGTCAGTTGGGCGTGTATACCCCCCACCGGTCTCTGAATGTGTGTTACACGGTTCACATAAACACCTATAGCTTCTTGGTTCACTGGTCCCAAAGGGTATTGGAGCCAGAATCCCAGTGCCAATGAACCCGGAAGAGAAACCAAGGACCTGAAATCCAAACTGTTTTGTATATGTTGAAGGACAGAATGGATGAGTGGCAAGGCCAAGGCCAAGTGGCTGTCAGGAATAAAAGAGACTGGCCCCCTGGGAAGAGACTGTCAGGAAGCAATCAGGATTTCTGGTTTCGACTTTTCTCTTTGTCAGCTGTGGGGCCCTGGAGAAGTCACTTACATGATCTGAGCCTCTGTTTCTTAGTCTGTAAAATGGGGATGAAAGGTCATTTACCTCCCCCTTCCTTGTGGGAGCATAACTAGGATGAAATGAGAAATGTAA